TGTGACTTTTTTTTAAATTGCGTCATAAATTATAATTTGCTATTATACAGTGTTATTCATTTTCCTCTAAGCCTAGGTTATCATTTTCTATATGTTATATTCTTCATACCATTGTAAAGCCTGTTCCAAACTATTCATAACTGACAGGTTTGAAATAAACATTGACACACTGACAGAAAATTATGGAAGTGCCAAAACCAGTCTAAAAAATGATTTTTACACAATTTTACACCTTAAATAGCAGTGAAATTAGGGATAGGATGCAACCATTTTGCTCAATAAACACATTTATATATTACATCTGACATAAACTTTGGTATACATTAGCTAAGTATAGGATGTATAACATATGTATGGGTCATCGAGAAAGAGTACCCCTACCCCTAATTTTGAACTGAGAATAGAACTATGAATCTGAAGGATATTACCTCAAATTCTATCACAAAATGGTTGTTATTAATAAGACTTTCATTCTATAACTGATATTTTTCACAAAGTTTAATTGGATTGAAGACTTTTTAAATTGGTCTATTCCTCTAAATGTACAGTGTAACTAACAATTTAACTTCATGTCTCAGAAGGACCCCTTCTTAAGCACCTTGCTGGATATAGGATTTCTCAAATGTTTGACGTCAATTTATGCTAAAAAGTCACACTCACGATTTTGGGAGTTGTTATATTCAATCCTTCTTAACTTTTTACCATATTTACAAAATTATTTGAATTCTGTGAATACTTAGAAACAAATTACACTACTGTCTTATGATGATTTAACTAATAGGCTCATGGCTGTTTGATTGGATTTGCTACGCCCTGGCGCTGCTGTTATCAAGTATTTCTTTTGAAGACTTATCAAATGTCTACCAGAATGATATTGGTTATCTGACAATTTTGAAATCACATGATGTGTTATAATTTTTGTTCATTTATTAATTGTTGTTCAAGTTAGAATGTCTTTCTAATGCATCCTTTCATGAATACCAGTGTGCCAGATGTTTATAAATATGTTTTGATACTCAAAAATAAAAACTGTTTTATTATATTTGAATATTTACTAATTAAGATAAACACTTGATGACATGATACTTGAACATATGAAATATTGAAGGATGAAGCTATTTAAAACTTTTGTCACTTTAATACACATTAATAAATAACACTGCTACAAGGGTTGATCATCAAGTTCTCATAATATCTCTCTAATTTCTTTATTTTTTAATATTTTCCTATGAAATTTTCACAGAATGTGCAGCATGGAATGTTTTATTAATCCCGCGAAAAATATTTAGAATAACAGGAACATTAACTAAGAAATGGTTGCCATAGTAACTTGAAATCAAGGCACCTGGGGCAAATAAAAAAACTAGCTAGAATAGCCCCCATTAACCATGTTTGATACATAATAAATTGTCAAATAAGCTATCAGACACATTAAATTGTCAAATGATATGTGCTCTTGACTGTTGTGAACTATTATAATGGTCATGTGAATTGTGTGATCTCATAATGGATGATTGGTATGCTTCATTAGAAGTGACTGTTAGACCCCATGACATTTAGATGATAGTGATTCCACAATAAAACATTGTGTTTTTACAGATTCAAAGGTTCAGAAATTGACACATCGACTATTAGGTCAATGGGCTTAAATTCTAGGAGCAATTATAGTGGATCATCTTGGCCCTTGGGATTAATAAAAGCATAGTATGCATGTCCGTAGCCAGCTTTTTGTAAGGGGGTGCTCAACCCCCTAGCATCCCCTTCCGCGAAAAACTTTTTGAACCCGGCCCGGCCCCATGGGTCCCCCCAGGATTGATCCGGCAGTGTTTCAAATCAGAAAATAAATTTTGGATCTCTAAAACCCAAAATTGGGCCCAAAATTTAATCCATATTTTTTGATAATTTGGCCTAAACTAAAAAAATAAAGCCCAAAAGGCCCATAAAGGTCCGCTAATGAAGCCCTGTAAAATGTTGGCTACTTTGGCTTTGGTGTTGCTGTGTTCTAGTTAACTACAGTATTTAACTTTTACAATTTCCAGATACAGCATAAACAGGATTCTAAAACCTTATCTTTTGTATCATCCACATGATCTGTACTTAAGGGATACTTGAACATGTTCAAGTATCACTTGATACTCATTAAAAACCTTTATGTATTTTGGAATAAAATTATTGAACTTCAATTACATGGACAATGTCAAGTGACGTTGACACATACAGTTCTGATTTTTAAAAATTACACCCAATACATGAATATTTATCAAAACATCACCTATCCTAAAATGTGTAGAGGATGGCAGAGGAAAAATGACCAAAGAAAATGTGAATAAAAACAACATTTTTCAACCAGTCAATCATGTCAGTGAACTTACTGAGAAAGAGCTCGAGCACTGCTCGGGAATCTGTTAACATAAATAGAATGTTAAAAGTCTTTCCAAGATAAAATGAAAATCTTTTATATATTCCTTAGATTATTTTTTTAAAATCTACATCTTAGTTTTTCCTTCAAATCAGTTAAATACAATACGGGTGATCACTAAGTTCTGGGAATTTATCTGTCATTTCAGGCTTTGTATAAAAAGCCTCCTACCTCATACCCATCTACCCACATACGTGGACCATGATACAGTCTTTGAAGGGTAAAATTTTAAAGTAACTTTCAATGATTTCATCTAAAAATTAAACCCCTTGAAAATACTAAATATGGATTCCCACTCGGGGCATCGGATTTAGCACACTTTCTTTCAATTTCTTTATCTGGCTTGTTGGACCTATGCTCGCGGTCGTTAGTTATTTATTCCCCTGGGGCGCCCTCGGGTCATTATTAAAATAATCTTTAAAATTGAACCCTTCAATGACTGTATCATGTTCCACGTAGGTGGGTATGAGGTAGGAGGTGTTTTATAAATAGCCGTCATTTCATTATTTTTGAACCAATTTACTTTTCATGGTAAATGAGGAATGTAATTATCCCATCGAACGAAGTTCGGAGGGATATAGGAACGCCTCCATCCGTCCGTCCGGGCAATAACTCAAATACCGTTGGCCCGATTTTGTTCATATTTTGTACACATATACCCTATGGGGGTAGAAGTTCCGCTCGAAAGCCGATTTTCAAAATGGCCGCTCATTTCAAAATGCGGCCATTTTAGTGCCGAATTTACAGTAATTTAAGTGCAATATGTAAAACTGTAATAGCAATATGTTTTAGATGTAAAAAAATTATATAGGACATTAATAAAGCTCGAAATGTAGATATTAAAGAAGCACATGGCAGCCATCTTGAAAAATGGCGGCCTTTACTCGTTATTTTATGAATTTTGCTGTAACTCGAAAAGTAGTAGAGCGATTTTGTTCATATTTGGTATGTGATTACTATAAACATTGCACACTGTCTAAAGACACTTTTGGTAGAAAGTGGCCATTTTAAAAAATGGCTGCCATTTTAACCTATTTTTCTATAACTCGAAAAGTAGTGCAGCGATTTTGTTCATATTTGGTATGTGAATACTATAAGGATGGCACATTGTCTAATGACACTTTTGGTAGAAGGCGGCCATTTTTCAAAATGGCTGCCATTTTAACATATTTTACTATAACTCGAAAAGTAGTGGAGCGATTTTGTTCATATTTGGTATGTGAATACTAAAAGCATGACACACTATCCTATGACACTTTTAGTAGAAGGTGGCCATTTTGAAAAATGGCCGCCATTTTAATGTATTTTATAATAATTCGAAAAGTAGTGAAGCGATTTTGTTCATATTTGGTATGTGAATACTGTAAGCATGGCAAATGGTCTAATGACACTTTTGGTAGAAGGCGGCCATTTTGAAAAATGCCTGCCATTTTTGCTATATACTTTGTTTGTAAAAATGCCATCCATGGCTGTTCAATGGGATTCGCTATGCTTTGGCGTTGCCGTTGTTCTGGTTTGGATTGGATAAAACAGTTTCACAGCGTAGCGGGTCAAGCAAAATTTGAATTTATTTTTATTTTACTTGATCTAAAAGTATAATGGTTAAATAATACCTATTTGTTGGGAATATTTCTGTGATTTTTTATGTTTTCAAATATTTCTGACTTAAAGAGTTTCTAAAGTAACATCTGTATTTTGATGGAAAAGTGTACTTTGCTTTATTTTCTTATCATTCGTCAGACTCTCAAAGTCACAATCATGACTCAAAATAGTGGGGAGTTTATCTTCCATTATGACTATGCTCCTTCCCACTCCTAAAACTGCCCATACTCTTCTTGAAGAATTAGGGTTCAGACAAGTGGTTAATGCCCCAAATTCACCATACACTATTCACCAAATGGTTAGGCTTCGCTACATTTGGGGTATTGAAGCATCATATGAGAGGTCACAAGTTCGATTCTGATATGGGACTGATTCCAAAGACTTGAGCAAATCTTCAAGGGATACCAAAGGATGGACTGGGAAACCTCTTTATGGACTAGGTTTGTCAACAATGCATGTGCGACCACGCTAATGGAAACCATTATAAATGAAATGATCTGCTCAGCACTGAAGAATACTTCTAAATAAATGACTTCAAGAGTACTGTTCTGCCTCTTGTACACCTAGTTTGATGCAACCATGTAGGCAAGATAAATATGTTTTAGCAGGAAATTTTCAGATTAACATCAAAGTTTGCTGAACCGCGGACCACTTTTACTTTTTTATAATTACAATAAAATAAATTGTAGAAGCCATGTGTATATGAAACCTTGTCTGTCAATTCAGAATTATGCAATATACACTTGCTGGAAATTTCAAATCAAATGGTTGAGAAATCTTGAAATGGCAGACCAATTCCCAGAACTTAATGATCACCCTGTATGTATTGACAACATATTTTTTGTCACTGTACATTGCCAACGGTTAGGTTCAGGGAAAACCTATATAATATATAGCAAGGCAAGTGATTATGCTGGTCAAAATGCAAATAGCTGCTACCTTGTCCCTCATTCAAAGTCTGGAAACAAGACATATGTGCTTTAAATCATCTTCAATTTATTGAGTCCTGGACTTAAATCCTTCAACATTATATGGAATTGAACATTTTCTATAATGTTTGTGCATAGTATCTACATGTATGTTTCTGTAATAATTTACTCATTTTATTGCTATTTAAACATCCTTTTCACAAATAAAGTAATATTTATTGTCACATCTTGCATCATTCCATCTATGTGATTTAGCCCTATTGAAGTGGACACACTTTTCATTATTGTTGCTATTGCTTGGTTCTCCTGGGTCCCATCTTGTGTATGTGAAGCGCTTTGGTGGCCTATGCAGACCTCCTGCCCAAATCCAGTCTCCTCGTTTAGTCAATGTGTTACCACCAGTCCATAGATCAGTATGCCCTTGACCAAAGTGCCTAATCATGCCTATAATTCATGAATATATATAATTTAACAAAATGATTTTTTTGTGATCATACTTTCATTTCTTCATTTATATTAGCTACTTAGTGGTTTTCAAATTATAGTTAAATTTCAAGTTTATTTATGTGTACTACTGTGCACAAAAAGATATCATGTCTTTTTATAGAAAACAAAACAAATAAACGAGACTTAAAAAGACTTAAAAGTTATCAATTTGTACCTATAATGAATATCTGTTCCTGCTCAGACTCTACTGCAACAAGGTTGGCGTGCATTGACATGCAGAAAGTTAGAGCCTCAAACCACGTCAATCCTGGGTTATTGATGTTCAGGGAATAACAGGTCCTCTGATTAGGATTGTGTATGAAGCCATAGGGGCAAGGCCCTCTTACATATAGCGTTTGTGTTGACACCTCCGAATCATTGACTGGTGGTTCTTTGAAAAAAAGAAATTGATAGTTTTAAACTGATTGAACTTTGTGTAGTGATTTGAAGAAATCATTCATTTGCCATCTGTTTATCTGGATGGTAACCCAGATGCTAGTTGTTCGATTTAATTTTATAAACTACATTCGAATCACAATATTATGAGTATAGTACCTCTGCTTCAGTATAACAAACGCTTTAGCTCTGTTGATGTTGATATAATCATTCAAATGTAGAGTGATTACAAGCCTGAAGCCTCGAGAAGAAAAGAAAAACAATACTTCACAATAAAATATTGCTGTATATATTATATAGTAGCTTACCAAGCAATTCTGTTTCATTATATACTGTAGTCTCTGTGGTCTCTGGATCCTCATTAATAGTATTGCAGTCAGTTAGGCAGATCTTAACTGACAGAATCACTATAATGAAGAGTTTCATTGTTTTAATACAGTCTAGTTTTGTAGGTTTTTCTCATTCGCTCCTCTCTCAATCTGATGAATACTCCCTGCGATGCAATTCAAAGGTTGAAAGTCCAAATCAGCCTACTACTCTAACATTCAAGTGACATCAGGGGTGTGTTTTGAGAAAATTGGACCAATCCAGACGAGACTGAAAATGTTACTTTTGATAACACAAATACCAGTCAATGAATTTGGTTCAAGATTAATATGCTGATGCCTTATATAGGTATAGCACCTCTGCTCAAGAATAATTTTTCAAGATGAATTTGAAATGGCTACCATTTTTCATGAAAATTTTTAATTTTCTGTTATTCAAGTTACTAATGGTTGTTGGTCTGGTGGCAGAAATATAAAAAATGCCCAGACTCTGCTCAAATTAAAGTATTATTACTTGGAAAATTAAAACTTGATTTTCTATATATTTATGTGAGTCAATTTCTATAGCTGCATTAGAAATTCAACTGATCAACAGAAACAATCAAAACTTTAATTACAATTCAGATTCACCATATCTTGTTAACTAAAATATGTAGAAGACAAAAAGGTTTGTTCAAAAAAAGCTCTGTTGGCTGGAATATCATTTAAAAAACCTGTGAACTAGAGGTTTCTGTAACATATTGCAGGTTGTGGCAATTTGAATGTTAATGCCTTGCTTCAGAACATCCTTTCATGTGGTTTCAACAAGTACTTGACCTTTGGATTAGATAATTTGAACCAACACTGCTAGCAAAGGATTGACAAACATCTCCACCCTGGATAGAGTAATACAAAGCTCTTCTGCAGAACATACATGTATACTGTGTACTCTTCAGTCAGACTGAACTTGTTCAACAAGCAGTGGTGGTTAATAAGTGTGTAACAGATTAAATTTTCGAAGTATAGTGTAAACAAGTCATAAAAGGTGTAATTCTTTGTAATTGGCTGCCATTTTTCTGTGTGTTGTTTAACATTTTTTACTACAGTGTGGGCCAAAAAAACGTCACTTTTTTTTCAAGACACTACAACTTTTTTATTTTCCAACCTACATACCCCAAATTTTGCAGTTATATAGTGCCAGGGGTTCTGAGTAATAATATAATGTAATAAGTCCTTCAACTTGGATTATATTTGATCTAAAGGGGGAGTTCAATTGGTCAGCCATCCTAATTGATGATATATTTTGGTTTTAGTCGCCTTGCTAATATTGCAGTATCAATGAAATGTTAGCTACGTTTTTTTCAACATGTCTTAATTGCCAGCTTTAGTTGAGCAATTTTCTAGATTGGGTGCCTTCATTCAATCTCCTGGAGACCTTCCCATACCCTATACTCACTGGGGTTTGCATCAGGGCTATTAGCTTGGCAATCACCAGGCCGTTTCAGTTCAGGAGCATTTTGCAAATTATGCTTACTTTTCATGGCACACCACATGTTTAAGTGAGACGCTGGTGACATATTTTATTCAAGTAAAAGTGTATAATTCATGATCCATGGCTAGATAACAACCTCAAGTTTCATTTAGTATACAAAATATGATTTAATATCAAAAATTAAAAGTTATAGCATTTTGAAAAAAAAGTGGCATTTTTTTGGCCCACCCTGTATAATGCTAAACGTAGTAGATTGATTTTGTTGAAAGGAGTGGTATCGATATGGAGAACTTTTTGAACATACGTTTATCTTCTTAAACCAGTCACAAAAAAAATCTAAAAATTTTACACATCATCAATTTAATGGTCATCTTTTGAATGGTAACCATATAATTTGAAATATATGTATACTTTCATCTATATTGTTTAAGAAAACACGTCAAACACTTGCTTTGTTCTTGGTATCATGTTTCCAGAGTGAAATGAAACATCTTTCCGAACCTCATTGGAACAAAACGACATAAACACAACATGTTTAGGTCTCTCAATATTGTAATTGTACAAAGGAAATTTTGGTTGATTTTAAAAAAGTATCTTGTTAATGAAATAAAAGGTTTATCTATTTTGGGGGGATTTTGTTTTAATTTTTTGAATACTTTTTTTAAAATCAACCAAAAATTCCTTTGTATAACTATAATATTGAGAGGTCTAAGAACATGCTGTATATGCTATTTTGTTCCAACAAGGTACGAAAAGACGTTTTTATTTCATTCTCAAGAATTGGTAGAAGGGAGCAAAAACAATTGCACTAAAAACAAAAAATGTTAACAAAAACAGTTATATAAAATATTTCTAAATTATTTTCGCATTAAATTTTTGTCAATCAGTCAACATTACATAAAATACAGTGTTTTTTTACAGAATTATTTCAATGATTGGTTTAAGAGAAAAACATTGTTGAATTCAGTTCTCCATATCGATACTACTCCTTTTACAGATAAGATAACCAGAGAGTTAATACAAGAATACAATAGTGCAGAAGTAAATTATTTGTAATATATTTTTAGGGACCAATTCAGGGTCAGTTCAAGTGTTCAACCTGACAAGTGGACAGTTGGTTAGGGAGTACAACATGCACACTGCCCCAGTCAGGTAAGGAAACAGCCCCCTAGCCAGGGGGTAGGGGTTTTGGTCCAAAATTATTTTTAACGTTTTTTTACCACTCTGAGCACGTTTTAAGTAATTTTGAGCCAAAGCTGTTAAATGTTAGCCCCCCTGGAATTTTTTGAAAAGTGAACCTCCTTGGCAAATGCTGGCTTCGTTCCTGGGAAATATGAAGAGTCCTCAGTTGAGCCAAGTGCTCATGTTACTACATTTAAAAGAGGTGTTGGTCTTTGTGTTTTCAACTACAGTTTAAAGAGAAGGTAAAATAGCGCCAGGCAGTGGAAGCAGCTGACCTGAGAGCCAAAGCTGTAGATACTTCTAATAATGTGTGGGGAATGTGTGGAGCCAGGAGACATACCATAGGACTACTAACCTTTTAGTTATAGATAATCTTATCAATAGAGGAATGACAGTTTGAGGGAACAGAATCAGATTATTTTAATTTCTTGGCCTTTTATTCTAATGTATCATCACCTCAGCAATATTAAAGAAGTTAAGTAAAAATAGAGTGATTGATTCAATTGAAATGAAAGTTAAAATATACTGAATCTCCTTTATATGGTATTTCTCTTTTATTGGTCCTTTGAACCAGAATGCAAAATTCAAGCCTCGAAATCATGTCACATATTTTCTGGAACATGTACATTAATGTTTTTAATTGTAGGGGTATAGAATGGGTGAGTCTTCATGGGTTCCTTACATACGCATTCCCCAACCCCGGCTCCAGTGGTACTACTAAGAATGAACTAATCATGTTGGACACTCTCACAGGTTAGTAGAAAATACATTTTCATGTGAATTTAAGACTTCAAGAATTACGTTCGTATTGATTTGGAATAATGTGTGTGATTAGAAAGGCTAAGTCAGGAAATGAGTCGGGATATCACAAAATATATCCCGACTCATCCTTTTTGTAAAAAAATGCCATGTACAGTATTTCAATAGAAAATTAATTTGCCATATTTAAAGTTGCTTATATATAGCCCCTACCCTGTTTAAGTGATGACTATGATAATAAATAAATCAAAAGCCGAAATAAGATATCTTTCAAGTTAAAGATTGTCCAATATAGCAATTGGTGGCTCATATATTATATACATGTATGTACCAATTGAATAATGTTTGTTCTAAAAATGAAAAGAAAAATTGAATTTCTTCATTCTACATCTATTTTATGATTTATAGGCAAAACAACTCATTTCCGCCAGAATCGTGATGAAGAAAGTCCAATAGAAATGGTTCGTGTGTCACACCTCAAGTGAGAAATGTTACTTCTGTAGCTATATTGGTCATAGACTATAAATATATGTACATGTAATGATAAATCCAGGATAAAAACAATGTTTTTGCCATCTAAAGTAAATTCAACATTAGTAAATATAGGCAAAAACTCTTATATCTAATGATTCTTTATTTGATTCCATATAAAAGTACATTCGTCCTCAAACCATTTTATGGGTAATTTAGATGTTTTAGAAGATTTAGCGATAATTGTTAAGGATAGTGGCTTCTGGTCCACTTAAGTTTCCCCTTACCCATTTCTGCTCTTGATGCCAAAAACATTTTATTTGCAGGCAGTACTTTGTTGTCCTATTCAAGGAGAAACCCCTGGAGTTATGGGATCTTAGGTCAGGCGTCTTATTGAGAGAAATGCCTAAGAATTTTCCACATGTTACTGCACTGGTGGGTGGCATTTAAACTGTTATATTATTTCATATGTAGAGGAAGAAAGTCAAGCATATCTGCGTTTATGGCATTGTCAACATTTCTATTATACAAAGTGGTACCTGGTAAAGAAATGTGCATATCTATTTTCTTGTCAGTATCAAGAACAAGAAGTAATATCTACTTATTTTTTACTGATGTCTGGCAATCAGAGACTTTAAGCATTTGCCATTGGTGTCTCACAAATAGTTAAATTTTTGTATTTGTTACCAGATGGTGACATTCATTTTCTTGTGTTCATCCCTTGTAATATTCATTGTTTTTTTATTGATAGTGGTATTTGCATGCATGTATTATTGTAGGAATGGTCACCATCTCACAACTTGAAGTCATTGAAGAAGAGACCAACTCAGCCAGACATATCTACATCAATGTCTTCAAGTACAAGCCAGATTGACATCTCTCTCACATCAAGTGTATCAGACAACCTCGCCAGGTAATGTATGTTGCTATTTGGTCTGACTCTATACCCTGTATTTATAGATATGGCTCTACAATGAATGTGTAGATCTGACTTTTTCATGTATTTCTAGATCTGATGCAAAAGTGTATTTGTAAACTTGACTTTAGCGTCTATTTGTGTTGCTGACTCTTTTGCATAGTTATAAATCTCCCATGAATTTGTAGATCTCACTGTATTCTGTATTTGTAGACCTGACAGACTCTTACATGTATTTATAAGTTTGACCATGCTATGTATTTGTATCATTATGGGCTTTCAAGAGGTCTCTTGAAAGCCCATGGTATCATCTATTTGGAACCATCTATTTATTTGCATCTGACTCTTCCATTTATAGATCTGATGCAACAATTTATTTGTTTTGACTTTTGCATGTATTTGTAGTTTAAGTTCTATTTTCTATCTGACCCTATCATATAGTTATAGTTATGACTCTACTATGTATGTTTTATCTGAAGCAACAATTTATTTGTAGATCTGATCTAATTTTAGCATGTATTTGTAGATCTGAGTTTAATATGTATTTTAGATCTGAGTTAAACATTTATTTGTAGATCTGAATTTAACATGTATTTGTAGATCTGAGTTTAACATTTATTTGTAGAGTTTAACATGTATTTGTAGATCTGAGTTTAACATTTATTTGTAGAGTTTAACATTTATTTGTAGATCTGAGTTTAACATGTATTTGTAGATCTGAGTTTAACATTTATTTGTAGAGTTTAACATGTATTTGAGATCTGAGTTTAACATTTATTTGTAGATCTGACTCTACAATGTCTAGTTCCAACATCTCAGCCAGAGAACACTTTGTCTTCACAGATGCTGATGGATTGCTCTATCACTTTATAGTGGAAGGGAATATGATTAAGGATGGCTCTAAAATACCACCAGATGTAAGTATCAATCTACATGTATACATTTCCCAAGTTTATTTAATTGTGCAGAAGCAGCAGAATCTGCATATTTTACCCAGACTTGCATCATCCATACACAAGCATCACAGCATGCAAAAATTCCCACCTACTTGAAATTTTTGTGATCTTGGCTGTTCATTTATAGATTTCAATAGACTTATACGCGATAGTTCAGAATGACAACAATATTCTTACTTCTCGTGTTGAAGAGCCAATTCCGGGTAATGATTTTTTACCTCCAGGTTTTCCCCCATTGAAATATACAGGGTTCAATTTTGAACACATCATTTCAGCTTCATTTGACATTATTCTTCACGTATATTTGCACAATCGATAAAAATATATGTCCTTATGACAAACCACAAAGCGTTTTCATGAATATTTTTTTGACACTGACGATAATCATAAAATGTGTTACCGTGATGTCAGTCAACGACTTTGTTCCCAGAAGTCGAGCCCTGATGACTCGATATGAAACAAGAAGCAAGTTCTTGTGCATATAATTATCTCACCGAACGAAGTTCGAGGGGGATATAGAGAAGCCGTCCATCCGTTCGCTCATCCGTCCGTCCGTCCGTGTGTCCAGGCGATAACTCCAATACCGGTTGACAGATTTGGTTCAAATTTTATAGGCTTATGCCTTATGAGAGTAGGACCTCTGCTCGAGAAGGAATTTTCAATATGGCCACTCAATTCAAAATGGTCGCCATTTTTCATAAAAAATGTAATCGTTGATAACTCAAATACAAGTTGACGGATTTGGTTCAAATTTTATATGCTGATGCCTAGAGACAAAGGAGTTTCGCTTAAAAATAGATTTTCAAGATGGCCGCTTAATTTCAAAATGGTGGCCATCTTTCGTAAAAATATGTAATCTTTGATAACTCAAATACCAGGTTCAAATACCATGGTTCAAATTTTATATGATGATGCTTAGGGACACAGTAGCTATGTTCGACTAAATTTTTTCAAGATGGCCACTTAATTTTAAAATGGCGGAAATTTTTCGTAAAAATTTGACACTTAACAACTGACAATTCTAACATTACGTATTATTATTATTATATCTTGGTTACTGCCATATTTGGTGAGCAATACCTCATTGGTATATTCCATACTTTACGTATTTTACACTCGAAGATAGAGCCAGAAGCCCCTCCTTGGAGGAGCCCTGTGTTCTTTTATGTGCACAGGTACACAGACATACAGGTACACACCACAGCTTTTTATACGAGTCGTGACCCACTCAGTCAAACACCCAGAATTACATAACGCACAAACAAACTTGTCTGAACCGGGAATCGAACCCGGGGCCAAGCGATATTGGTAACCTTGACTCTGCCACTGAGCCATAGTGGGTGAACTATTATATTTTAAAAAGATGACAGAGCGATTTTACAGATGACAATGTTAAGTGAGATTTTATCGTGACTTAATTGGTACAGATCCTACAACACTGAAGCAATGTCCTTGTAAAGCTATTGTACTGTCAATTAGGTTAAAGTTAGCAGATTGTTATTATTTATATGGGCCTACTAGGTATTATTGATTTTGTGCACATTTTGCATCATGTTCAAAAATGATTTTACATTAAGTTACATTGGGTTATTAGTTTTATTTTTGAATTCTTTCTCCAATTTGGCACATATTTATGTTTAAATAGATATCTTTGGTACTACAAATTAAAGAAATCTACCATTAGGTATGAGTATGTTAAACAAATACATTGGCTTGAGAACAGGCCTTGCAATAAATGAGTTTAATAAATAAACTCATTAATGCAATAAAGTTTAATGAAAAATATATTCAATGGAGTTGCCGTTATCTAGTTTATTAGGAATTAAGTTTGTGTCATAGCATACCATGTGGGAGTAATATTGTAAGCAGTTATTCCAATTTTCATTCTTGTCACCTGCTTTCAGGGTTTATATGTAATACTAAAGATCATTATTTTGTTATCTCCGTTTCAATTTTTACACACCTGCTTCCAGGGTTTATGAGTTTTCCTGAATTGCAAAAATAATAAACTATTTAAAATATGTTGTAAATGCTGGTTGACACATTGTTAATGTTGATACTCATCTTCTTTCTTAAATAATAATAATCTTTGTAGAAATTAAAACACTATTGTAAATCATTGCCAACCAGCTACCTGAACTATTTGCTCATAAACTAGTTACTCACTACAGCACAAAAGGAAGAGACAAGATTTCTACAACCAGACAAGAGAAGCAATAAGTTCAATGATGAATTCATCAAAAAGTCGACAACTCCGGAAATATTTTTCTTTGGGTGCAGGTATACTTGGATGGTTCTTAGGAGGAGTTGTGTTTGGATTTAATGTATATGCAATCTCCCTAAAACAAACGTTTAACTATACTCAGACTGAACTGGACTACATAGCATCAAGTGGTGATTGGGGAGAATGTTTCCAGTTTCCAGCAGGGATTGTTATTGACAAATTCGGTCCAAAGGTGACATGCAGCATCTCACTCATTGTCACTACAATGGGATTTTTACTAATGTGGATGGCTACTGCGTTTAGGATATTCTTCAGCTCGAAAAGTTGGCTCGTGTGTGCTTTTTATTTTCTAACAGGATTTGGACCCACATTTTTAGTCATACCATCGATGGTAGTGAATTGCAAGAACTTTGATAAAAAACATTTGGGTAAAGTACTCAGCCTCTTAAGTGGCACATTTGGGGTTAGTCCTGCAATTATAATTGTTCTTTATGAAGGATTATTTGTACAAGGACACTTTGAGGATGCAGAGAATCAAAAGCTAGGAGAGTTTATGATGATGCTTGCTGTACTATCAGCTTGTATAAGTGTATTTTGTGTTGTGATGCTAAAAACAGTTCCAGAAGACACTCCATATGATGTGATTGAACAATCAGGAGAGGCTATGAATAAGACAAATGATATACATAAGAATAAAAACATGGAAATACATAAAAACATAAATGATAGAACAGCCCTTGTTCCAGAGAAAACAACAAAGCAGATACCAAAAGATATGAATTGTTGGCAAATTATAAAAACACCTCAGTTTTATTATGTGTTTTTGATTTGTCTGATCATTATGGGTATTTGTATTTCTGTTGTAAATAATCTCACAATTATTGTAGAATCTGCACAGATTGATGTAAATCAAATAACATTCACTTTGATAATACCAATTTTTGCAGTAATATCCCGATTATTTGTTGGAGTGTTACCAGATTATATATTCCAGAAATGGCCATTCATTCCGAAGTCATCAATTCTGTTATTCTCTTGTATACTCACCTGTATCAGTCAAATGATCTTCATAGTTTTTAATGGAAGTTTGATTGGTTTGATATGTGCTTCTGTAATGGTAGCCCTAGCATATGGTGTTTTGTTTGTACATATTAGTATCATCACCATTAACCTGTTTGGTTTGCAGTACTGTGGACAAAACTGTGGTCTTGTGTTTTTAAGTAATGGATTTGGATTGGTATTATTTCAAAAGCTTTTTGCTTTGAATTACGAAACCAATAGTCCACCCGGATCACATAGCTGTTTTGGAGACTTGTGTACAAAGTGGTTTTTTGTTCTGACATCAAGTTTAAGTTTTTGTGCAGTTTTTCTAAATTTTTGTCTTATGAAAATTGAAAGAGATCTGCATCTCCAACATGATGAATCACAAGCCTCCAGCCATCAGAAATAGAACTAGTAAATTACTTTATTCCATAGTTAGCATGATATTCATAGGATAACATGTCAAAATAAAAACGGTATTTTTGTAATCAGTGGTAAAGTATGATATTTTTGACAAATTTTCACTTAACCATAGCATACGGTATTTAAGCCAAGACAGGCGCCGTATGCTATGAATTATTGATTTTTGCTACTTCAGACTCAAAACGAGGCTAAGTGTCAACATCGCCGGATCGTTTGGAAAGTTCGAATTAAATCACTTATTTTCCGACGATTCTGATGATGACTTTAACTATGGAATAAAAAGAACATCCTATGATTTACTCGTGATATGATTTTAATCCTCTCATGGATATTGACTAAACTCTCTGTTTTCGACACATCACTGCGTACTCACTGGTAAATTAATGTTAATTTTACGTTTCTATTTGTATTTTTGCTGTACTTGTCGTCTTGCAATGTCAAAATATCACTTTCATCAAGGTTTACAAAATGTCTGTCTACCATGTTTTTTCTGTAAACTATGACGTCATATTCCCCATAATTCACAAGTGCAGTACAGTAACATACGCGGTCAATAATATGATATCCCATGATGCACAGGTGGGGTACAGGCAAAAATTTTGACCGCTAATTGACCAATCAGATGCGAGTATTTACACTGAGGTACTAACAATACATAATATTCACTCTGAATGTGGTAGATTGATGACTGACTGACAATGAATCCTTTGTACCCACTATGAACAGATACTTAATAATTGTTTTACTTTGAAAGTTTTGTAGCAAATAAACAGTTATTTAATGATAACTTACCATTTTAACTGATTAAAATGACAGCAAGCAACCAAGGATTTATTACCCTACATGAAGAGACTTGTTATAAACTACCCTCTGCAATGAAATGGGAACCATTTTTCTTTGTAAATTGATTTTTTTTTTTCGGTTAAAACTTCAATGCCTTTTTAGCACCATGATTTGTAAATAGACATTTTGCTACAAGTTAAATACTATAAGTTTTGGACAAAGGGAGAAACTACTACTGCCTGGTTATTATGTCACCACAACAAGTGGTGACACATTGTTATATCTCCAACTTTTTGGGTGGTAGCTGGTGTTCAGCATCTGACATAGAATCAGATTGCAAGTTTTTAATCAGAGATTAGAATGAAGATATTCTGTGTTTGGAGGATGATTACTTATACCAATTATAGAATTTGGTCCTAATTTTAAAGGCAAATGTCTCTATAGGCAGAGAACCCCTGCTCAATGAGTCATTTTCAATATGGCTGTCCCATGTTTCAAAATTTTGTCAAAAAATATAATCTTGATACCTCAAATACCAAGATGACTGCTGAATTCAAAATTCGATATGGTTTTTGATAACTCCAGCTTTCAACAGACATGTGCCAGTGCCTTATTGCCATGACTTTTTTCAAGATGGTGTCACATCACATTATAGGTGTCTGAATAAGACAATACTACTCTGCTACATTGTGATTTTTTTTATTGTCATATAATGTCCAAAATGAATGGGGATTTGATTAAATATGTTTTGTTTTGGTGCTTTGTTGAGTTGCTATTTTTTTGATTTGGGCATTAAAAACTCAAATAATTTTATTCCTGGAAATGATCTCATGCAATGTGTGTAAATGCTGTACAAGAAACATTGGGTTGACTTGACCTGACAAATAAAAACTTATTAAATAGTTACTAGTTTATTTTTGATAATTTGATACATTAATGTGTCTGCTTTTGTTCAAACTTTACTCAAACTTTACTAAGCTTTAATTCCCCGGGGATTATTTACAGAAACTTCAAGTTAATAATTTTTAAGAATTATAATCTCAGAGAAAATTTCCCTTGCATACATGTAATTCGACTTGCTGAGACCTGAATTCTACTTTCTGAATGAAAACTATTCTGGTTTAAGTAGTCCCCTCAAATCACTTCTCTGTTATTGTCCCACCAAATGAAATTTTGAAAAGGTATAGAGAAGCTACCTATCATTGTCTGATGCCTTAATGTGCATAGACCTCTTCAGCATCACCTCATGCCATGGGTGTAGATTTTGCCAAAAAGAAGACTTCTAAGATGACATTATCAGTGGTTTCAGTAACTTTGTGTACAAGCTGACAAGAGGCAGATGAAAAATACAAGAGGCGGCATTCAAAATAACCAATTTTACGCTCCCAACAATGCAAATTATTGTTATTTTAGAGTCCATGGACTGAAAGAAACATGTCCAAGGTTTGTCAAAGTCATTTCCACGTGTGATGTGGCAAGACATGGGCTCCACAAAATAACACCTGGAACTGTGGAATGACTAGGGCAACTAATATAGAATGTCATTTACCTTTTATAAGATAACTTACCACCTGTTGAATTGAACACTTTTGATATAAATCAAAATCTAGAATTGTCATTATTAAAATGAGAGTGATGTATTAATAGATGATTCACTTGTGATTATGTGTATATCAGATTCATTTTAGTTTTTTAACACCTCCAGAGGGTCCAGGGTGTTCCAAAAACAGGACTGTTGCTGGTATTTTGTTAAATATACACCAATTGTCTTCAAAATTTTACATAATGTACCTTCATGTTTTGTAACTAAAATTGCCGAATTATATAATTTTTGTCGAAACTGATTTAGAAATCGGCCGATGACTACTCATCGGCCAGCACCCGGTGCATATGTGGCCTAGGCATTAGAGAGACACCGAGGTGGGAGATTTCCCCCTCCCCTCTACACCAAACTTGTTCTCACTACGCTTTCGAAAATTGCCTGAAAGGCCTCCTCACACATTATTAAGGAAAACATATCTACACATTTTGTGCATTTAACCATTTGATAGCATATTGTGGATCTTATCTTAATTTGTTAATGTGAATTCGCACCTTCATTTGCATGGAAGACTTTGATAAAATCCTTTTTTGATGATCTTTGTTAGAATGCTGATGTTTGGCTAAGCTTCGAAATTCCAAATTGAACAGTCTACTAAGGATACCATGTTGTAAATATTGTTTTCTTTATTGAGCTAAGACTGTAGCTACAAGTATTTATTTCAAGAGATGATAAACTTCTCAATATAAGAAATTACCCTCATATGACAATGTTGCAAGGTGTGTTACAATGAATGTGGCACCCCGCATTCCCGGGCCCACATTATGTATTCTCGAAGAAAGCCATCATGATAAACCATGACATCTCATTTCTTCTAAGCCCTGTGTTTCAGGTGAAACAGAAAGATGCTATGAGTATCAGAATGGAAGAAAGCATATATTTGCATTGATGGTGTATAGATAGTTATTTTATATAGTGTTTTTAGTTGTATGTGGAAACCTATTCTAACCAGGAAGGATATTGCAACTTTTTTCAAGATCCTAAAGTTGCAATTTTCGTTATTGTGTTCCATTGTAAAGATGCACCTGTGAAAGTGTGTCGCTGGTATAAAGGCGTAGTTCTAAATAAATTTAAGATACACGTTTTTTTTACTTGTACGTGAACGTGTAGAATTATGGACCTGATGGATTTTTCTCCCTTTTGTACTGTTAATACTTGGCCGGTTGAGTATATAAAGGTATACATGTCCCAGCTTTTGGTAAGTGAGGTGTCAAACCTCCCCCCCCAATCCACACATACACTTTTTATCATGCTTAAGTAACTTCGCATTGTAATTACAAGTCCACCCATGTAGCTCTGCGGTAGCGCATGTACCTCTTACGCAATAGGTCCCGGATTCGATCCCCGGTTCAGGCAAGACTAAATTTGCTTGTTTGCGTGAAGTACTCCAGGGTGTTTGACTGAATGGTCCGCAACTCATACAAAAAGGCTGTGGTGTGTACTTGTATGGTTATGTATAAGTGCACATAAAAGAACACAGGGCTCCTTCAAGGAGGGGTTTCTGGGTCTGTCTTCCAGGTTAATTACATAAATTACGACCGTATATATACGGAATATACCCAAGAGGTATTGCTCACCTTCATTGGTGGTAAACAAAATACAATACAAGGGTGTTATAAACGAGACACCAGGATGATAAGGTAGGGGTACAATATAGGGCCCAAATCTTGAGAAAGAGTCGAAGGCATGCGAGGCGAATCCTGGAAACTCGGGTTCGGGAAAGCGGGGTTCACTGTTTGGTTCCGTTGACACCTGTGCGAAACTACATTCATAATTTATCCGACAGTCGCTTTGATAATGTTTCTTGATAATGTTTCCTATCAAAGCTCATCAAGAATGGACGATCTTGCACAGGTACTCATATAAGAACCTCTATATCTTTTAAACACCAATATAAAGATTGAAAAATGGACACACTATGTTAAAAATGTTATATCTAATGTGCCAATTCAATAATGATTTAGCATATCGAAAATGTTTTCAACCTAAGTGACCACATCGTGACATCATTTAGGTGGCAACATTTTTCAATGTCAATCTTTTCTAAATATGCTAAACTTAAAAAACAAACCAATTTTGACTGTCTAACCAGGTTAAAAGGATGAATATATTATGTTTTTAATATTATTTTACCATTGGTTCCTATGAGAATTAAAATTTTGAAATGCATCTTTCCCTGAACCACTTTCATGCATGGATGAGTTCATTGCTCGTTCATACATCAACCAATTTTCTTGATTTTGTCGGCAAAAAAACAAGTGAGGATGATTGCTATGCATCGGTGTGAATTATCACTTCAAAGGATAAGTGTGACCTCTTAAAGTTAGTTTTAAATAAATTCACGATATTTTGAACAAAAAGTCCTTCAAAAACATTTTTGAAATTAATAAAAAGTTTCACATTTCACACTTTGATAACATTGGATAAGACAACAATATAAGCCAAAGTGGTTTGAACTTTATATGGGGCCTTTAACTGATTAACACAATTTTACAGCCATTGGAAAGACTGTACTGTGACTGGTTGTATCAAAAAAAGTTGTATCAATCATATATGTAACTGCATGTCCAGTGGAAAATAACCAACTCTAATTATACCAAAGGTTGGAATTTGAATTATCAATCATGCACATGATAGTGGTCAGATAGTGATCTAAAATGCATAGCCCAAACGGGTAAAAAACTGGACGGTGTTTACTACTATAATGAGATCAAGTGATCTTTATGATTATAGTGACGTTCCAGTGCAGTTCGAAACTGAGGTACAAATCATAGACAAGGAAGTGCAAAACAAGATCGCTGAATAAAATAAAGGATAGTCTGTAGAAGACTTTTAATTTTCCCTGAAAAATATTTGACTTCTAACAAACGGCGGATTATCGAAAACAAACGGCGATTTTGGACACTCGCCCCCTGCAATTGAAAGCCCAGATTATATGTACCTTTTACCTTTTACAGGGTGGTATGGGCAGTATCACATGTATAGCGTGGAAGGGAGACACTATGGTACTAGGGGATGTTGATGGAAACCTCAACCTATGGGACCTAAAGGCAAGAGTTTCAAGGTAAACAAATGTCCAGAATTTCCAGTCTTTGGTATGCAACACATAAGAATCTCTTTGTTCATACAGTATTGATACTGAGATCTTTTTGTCCATGTATATTGCAACTGAAGTGTGCAAACTACAACCAGGCTCTGGGTGACTCTGGCTCTTATTAGTTACAATTTTGGACAATTTGTTATTATTTGGCCAATTAATTGTAGTAACAATAGGAATCTGGTTGCAGTTTACATGGACCATATTGCAACTCGTCTATTGTACACCAAAAATCAAAAAAGTTAGAGATTGAGATTGAATAAACCTGCAACACAATACAGACATTTTGTTTTAGTTTAAGAGAAATGGAATTGATTTGGAGTACAAAGGGTAACATTCAACATTAGGAACACAAATGCATAGAAATAAAATATGTTATCCAATGAAATCAAACTCTGTGATAAATATTAAAAGAGTAAAGCTAAAATTCATTATTTATATTTGTATGTTCTTTCTACAGAGCTGTTCCAACCCATAGAGGATGGATAAAGAAAGTCAAGTTTGGTCCAGGGCGTGGCAACAACAAATTACTAGTCCTTTACAATGATGGTGTAGATATATGGGATACGAAAGAGGTAGGCTTCCAATATTAACACAGGTTTTGGGAAAACGTATTGGGAATGGGGAAGGGAGAGGGATTAAGACAAGTTAATTTTTTTTCAATTTAACAAATCTAATAAAAATGATACTTAGCTTGAGGAAATTATTTATAATAGTAAATGATAAACTGAAAAATTGTAACACAGGAGGTAAGAATGAAAAGGGGGAAAACTACTTCCGTACTCATCTTGCTGTTCTTTATTTTAAAAACAAGACATTTATTGTCATTATCTTCCAATAGTTTTTCATTTATTCCATTTGCTCACTTTTTGAGTACACTAACTAAATGTCATGTACTCTCTAAACAAAATATAAAAATTGAAAAGTATATTGACTTTCCTAATAGGGGATTTTAGGTCATCTTTGTTGTTTCTTCAAAAATTCAAAGAAGAAATAATTTTATATACAAACACAAATATATAAAATAATTTCCCCCTATTTATGAAAGAACTATTTATTTCATCTGTACCAAGCAAAACGTCATAATGATATTTGTTCCTTATTTGAGAGAGTTCCTCTAGCTGTCTTATTCTTATGTTCCTTATTTGATAGACATTCCTTTGTCTAATTCCACTGTAGAACAACCAAATTCTGGGGACAAATTGTGTCTACTTTTACCCTCTCCCTTGGTTACTCAATTACTGTACAAGATGTAATTATAATGTGTATTTAATTATAACAGAAAATAACGAAATTTTCTTTGTCGTTATATTTTATTCTCGGTTCTGACTTTCAACTAAGTTAATTATTGTTGTTTGAAAAAATCGGGATAAAAATGGAGTTCAGAAAAAATGAAAACGGAAGTCAATTGCTTTACCATACAGCATAATCAACATAATATTGATTCATAATCAGTTGAATATCGACGCGACTTACCTTATTTGTTTTCCTGTTACCATTTAGTATCTTTATTCACCGTTGAACCGCAAAAAAACATACCAAAATCAACTTTTTCGATCATTAATGCTTCAACCAGAGGTCAAAGTTCATAATACACACGAAGAACGATCAAATAAAATTCTGAAATTTATTCAACAATGAATAACACAATAAAACATAAAAAGTTCAGTCAAAAACACACACACAACATTCACAAAATCATGAGAGGTGTAGCCCACTGTACATAAGTTAGGCAATTAGGGTAGGTTTGCCGTTTATCAGGGTAATTATGCACGGTAATTATAGACGTACATTTTTTGGAGAAAAAATTAATCTGCTCAATCAGGACTAGCGGGATCGATAATTCCTAATAAAAATCAGGTCCATGGACGGTAATATTTCTTCTAGTTATTTCGAATTTTAGAGTGTTTTCGTTGTATTTTCATACCGTTATAATTACATATCCTACAGTATTTGTATGTTCACTCTCCAAATCCCTCTGGTGACATTGAAGTGTATCCCCCATCTACACACAAATCTGTTGCTGTTATGAATGAGGCATCTTTACTGCAGAGGAATGCTACTGCTGCTGCTACTTCTGTAGCTTCACCAATCCTACGAAGCATGTGGGCTTTTCCAAAAGTTTCTTGAGCCTTGTTCTTGTCAGCAGGCCCAAAACACTTCGCAACCTTTAAAAAGTACACTTCAAATTCATGTACTTTATGAGGTAATAGGGGCATATAGAGAAAACTAATCTGGATCATGATTTGAATTTGATTTGGTTTCTCAGATCAAGTTTGGAAGGCATTTCCTATTTAAGATACTTTATTGTCTTACAATGCCCCCCCCCACTAGATTGGAAGTGATGATCAGTCTCATATATTTCGGGTAACATTGTCATAGTTGTCATAGACTGGATTGATTGTCCACACTTAGGCTAAAAACAATAGATAGCATGTACTGTCCATCTTTCTGGTGAACTGTTGTATAAATTTTACATTAAAAAATTATTACATGAATTTTCCTTATTTTTATTTTTCTCATCATTTTACTCAATATTTGAATCTTGAACATGATTATCATTTACCTCAGGAGTCCAGATTGCACCTGGACTGATTGAGTTGACTCTTATGCCCTGTTCTGACAGGTCAAGTGCCATGCATTTTGTTAATGAAACAATTGCTCCCTTTGTAGAAGAATATGTCCATCTATTTTTCTGTACTCGATAAGCTGATAAACTGGCAAAATTGACGATTCCACACTCTTTCCCACCAGCTAAAATGAATTTAAATAGTTAACACTTGGAATCATCATTCCAATATAATCTTTAAGATATTAGTGATAGCTTGTTCTGGGCATGTGCACCAATATACTTAACAGAGACGTGTGATCAACCTACCTTTGACCATATAAGGATAACATGATTGCACCATATTGGCCACACCTTCTACATTCACTGCCATTGTCTTAGCCCAATGTTCATGCTCAGCTTGAAGAGCTGGAATACCGATATATGCATTACAATTATGAAGCCTGATAACACATCAGCATGACAAAACAAGAACAAGAATAGAGGATTGAGGATGGAATAACTCATGAATGGTAACAAATCACTTAAGGGGGCATAAATACTGTAAAATATAGACTGTTTGATTGAAACTTATCATTTTTGGATATTTTGACACCCATTTTTCACAGATTTCTTCATTCGTTACAAGTAAAATTTGTTTTTAGTAAATTACGATATCATAATTGGAAATTGTATAAACTTCAACTACATTAGAATTTAAATATTCATTATTTTTTTTAATTGTACAGTAGAACCTGTGTAAGTGGACTTTGAAAAGCGTTCCACTTGCGAGGTGTTCCACTTATAGAGGTGTTTGACTTGGCAGGTTCTACTGTATTACATATGGGTTATTCACGTGATCCTAAATGTTTTTAAGAATGATACAAGGTGTCCCATTTGTAAGAACCTCCCTGTATATGTCCATATTGTATAATGATACTCATTCATTGATACTCATTCAAAATCAGTGATGAGTGGCTGTTATATCCATGTCAAAATCATTCAATATCATAATGAATAGTCATTTGCTTCTTCTTGAACATGTTCTTCAAGTTGGTTATTATATTTATTAAATCACAAAAACAGTTTTCTTCCATAGACAACCTCTATTAGGATATCCTGTCTGGATCCTTTATCAACTGTAATAAAACAAAAAGTCATTTTCTCATTTCTCTTGTTCAGCGAAGGTTGTACAATAATATTAAAAGGTGAATCATAAAGCACAGTTCCATTTTAAAAAAGTACATGTACAGTCTGCACTACCTTCAAAGCAAAAGTAGACTGCAGCATTGACTAGATAGTGTACAACTCCCCCATTTGCATCAGCCACCTTCCCCACTCCTGATAGACACTCTGCTTTGTTAGAAACATCAACACTGTAGAACATTGGCGAAAAACCTGCTTGTTTAAATTCAAGTTCTGTGTTTCGAATGGCATCATCATTTATGTCAAATACAGCAACAGTGGCACCGTCATTCAAAAACCGTTTTGCTGTTTCTTTTCCTATTCCAGAAGCGCCCCCTGTCACTATTACAACTTTTCCTATAATATATTACTTTGGAGAATAATGTAAAAGAAGAATCCTAGCTATAGTAGATTCATATTTCATGAATCATCCTAAGACAATGTACAAAATCAAATAATTTTGATAATAAATTCCATGTGACAAATAACTGAATAATTAAATGAACAAATGAGGAAACATAGAATCTTAACAAATGCTTACCTTTAAATCTCTCTTTTGTGGATGATTCATCCAAAACTGGTTGCATATTGAAGAATATGGCAGACATAGTCTTATGATCAGAGCTTTGACTTTAGTGTATGGTTATCAGAAAAATACTAAATCCGTCAACATACATGTATGTCAAGTCTACTTCTTACTTGGTTGGCCTTATCTTGATCTTCTCACTAACAATGAATAAGACAACAGCATATGTTTAGAGGTTATGTCACCATGACATAAAATATGCCTGAGTTCTGCCAATATAGGCCAACCATGCGAGGCTCTATATTTGGGGAAGATCGAGGTGATTTGCATTTTACACTGCAGTTTACATTTACGATGTTTAGTTGCTTGATTTATTATCCCATCGAACGAAGTTCGGAGGGATATAGGGAACGCCTCCGTCCGTCCGTCCGTACGTACGTCCGTACGTACATCCGTCCGTCCGTCTGTCCGTCCGTCCGTCCGGGCAATAACTCAAATACCGTTGGCCCGATTTTGTTCATATTTTGTACACATATACCCTATGGGAGTAGAAGTTCTGCTCGAAAGCCGATTTTCAAAATGGCTGCTCATTTCAAAATGGCGGCCATTTTAGTGCCGATTTTACAGTAATTTAGGTGCAATATGTAAAACTGTAATAGCAATATGTTTTAAATGTAAAAAAATTATAAAGGACATTAATAATGCTACAAATGTAGATGTTAAAGAAGCACATGGCAGCCATCTTGATAAATGGCGGCCTTTACTGGTCATTTTACGATTTTTGCTGTAACTCAAAAAATAGTGGAGCGATTTTGTTCATATTTGGTATGTGAATATTATAAGCATTGCACACTGTCTAAAGACACTTTTGGTAGAAGGCGGCCATTTTGAAAAAAATTTGGAAAAATGGCCGCCATTTTAACGTATTTTGCTATAACTAGAAAAGTAGTGGAGTGATTTTGTTCATATTTGGTATGTGAATACTATAAGCATGGCACACTGTCCTATGACACTTTGGGTAGAAGGTGGCCATTTTGAAAAAAATTTTGAAAAATGGCCGCCATTCTAACGTATTTTACTATAATTCGAAAAGTAGTAGAGCGATTTTGTTCATATTTGGTATGTGAATACTATAAGCATGGCACACTGTCCTATGACACTTTTGGTAGAAGGTGGCCATTTTGAAAAATGGCCGCCATTCTAACGTATTTTACTATAACTCGAAAAGTAGTAGAGCGATTTTGTTCATATTTGGTATGTGAATACAATAAGCATGGCACACTGTCTATTTCTAATGACACTTTTGGTAGAAGGTGGCCATTTTGAAAAATGGCCGCCATTTTAACGTATTTTACTATAACTCAAAAAGTAGTGGAGCGATTTTGTTCATATTTGATATGTGAATGCTTTAAGCATGGCACATTGTCTAATTAAACTTTTGAGAGTAGTCGGCCATTTTGAAAAATGGCCACCATTTTTATGTGTGTTATTTTACAAGTATGTGTATGATTTTTCAAAAATTTTAGAGGTGGCTACTTAAAAGCATATTATTTCTTCTGATGACAACTTGGCTAGTGAGCAACCATTTTGAAAATGGTGGCCTTTCTGGTATGTTGTTTTATGATATTTGCTATTCGTTTGTAAGCCATTTCTGTTCGATGGGATTCGCTACGCTTTGGCGTTGCCGTTGTTCTGGTTGTCTGAGTGATTTACAGGATATCGATGATTGTTTTCTATGATTGCGATTTAATATATTAAACAAATCTGAAAGTTTTATCTGTCAATTAACGTACAATGTAAAATACAATGTTAGTTGCTTGATTTATTGCCAGGGTGATTGACAGAATATGGATGTTTGTTTTGTCAGTTGGTTTATTGGTAGATTATTTGGATGCTTGGTTGGTTGTTTGCTTGATTGGTTGTATGACTGGTACATTGAGTTGGGCATTTTGAGGCATAAAATGAAACCAAATTCCTAACCCTAATAGGAACATGATTGTTCTGTAACAATTAAGGTCCTTTCCCTTTGGCACTTGGTACATATCTAAATCTAAATCCACTCATGTGAATCTCTATTGGCATGAATCAAGCAGTTGATCTTGTTAACAAGCAGATAGTGATTTTACCTTAAATTGTAATCCTTGAAAGAGTAAATGAATTTTTAAAGATATTTAACATTATTTAATTGAACAATATGTCAGTGAAGATAAATGTATAAATCAAAATCCTAGTAGAAGATCATGTACTGAATTCAAATATGTCATCAAATAAAAGAAAATGTGGAGCCTCAATGGTTGAATGTGCAGATCACTTAAAATTTCATTATTCCAACAGATGCAGTTTGGGGGAGTTTGATGTGCACAAATTGTGTGATATTAAGAAACTAGCCCAACCACAATTTGGGCTGCCAGGGTTACATTACTGTAACCCCCTAGCCCATTTATATGGTCCACATAATTATCCCATTGAACGAAGTTCAGAGGGATATAGGGAACGCCTCTGTCCATCCGTACGTGCATACGTGTCTGTCCGGCCGGGCAATAAATCAAATACCGTTGGCCTGATTTTGTTCATATTGTGTACACATATACCTTATGGGAGTAGAAGTTCTGCTCGAAAGTGATTTTCAAAATGGCCGCTCATTTAAAAATGGCGGCCATTTTAGTGCCGATTTTACAGTTATTTAGGTACAATATGAAAAACTGTAATAGCAATATGTTTTAAATGTAAAAAAATTATATAGGACATTAATAGAGCTAAAAATGTAGGTATTAAAGAAGCACATGGCAGCCATCTTGAAAAATGGTAGCCTTTACTCGCTATTTTATGATTTTCGATACTAAGCTTGTGGAAATTATTGATAATAGTAAATGATTAACATAACAATTGTTACACAGGAGGTGAGAATGAAAAGGTGGAAAATTTTGCAGTACTGTTCTTTATTTTAAAAACAAGACATTTATTTAGTATATATATCTTCTAGTAGTTTTTTATTTATTCCATTTGCTCACTCATTGAGTTCACTCACTAAATGTCATGTACAGTAAAACCTGTCTAATCCGAACACCCATGGGACCAGCCAAAAGCGTTCAAATTGGCAGGTGTTCAAATTTCGAGGATTTTGTTGGTCGGGGGGGGGGGGATTTTCATTGTTCAGTGCACTATATTGAACACTTAATACTAAGTCAGAAAACAAAACATGTTGTTGATGAGTTAATTCTACAATAGGCCTATAGCCTATATGCTATGTTTTATTTATATTTTGAACAATTTCATCATTTTAGTAAAAATAACTCTTATAGTTTGGCAAAAACTTTGTAATACACTGTAAAAGTATATGATAAGTCTCGTACGAAATTTTATGCTTATCATATGGCTTATCCCATATTATGGTTACCGGTATATAGCACTGCTTTACTTTTGCTTGAAAAAGTCCTTCATTGTTGTTTGTTTCTTGGCACTTTTAGCATTAGCAATATTTGAGTAGATATCCTCTTCAAGTAAAAATAATTTTTCATGAGTGAGATGATGTATAATCCTTCAAAATATCAAGGGCATTCAGGATGTCAGATGTATGCGAATATTACGAAGTTGGATTTTTTCTCCTTCTCGCTCGTGATATGATTGTGTCTGCAAATGGCGTTTGTGTTGTCTTTGTGATTATAAAACATTTACTGATTGAATATAAACTATCATAACAGACCCATGGGATATAAAACAGTTAAGAGCTGTTCATAATCCAAATCAAAAACATGCAGTTAATTTACAATAAGGATAAACCAATTATCTACCAGACTCTCACCTTTCTCTTAATCCAAATCAAAAACATCCAGGTAATTTCCAATAATGATAAATCAATAATCTTCACACCTTTCTCTTAATCCAAAAATAAAACATTCAGTTCTTTTCTAATATGATAAACCAATTAACTCCTGTATTCACACCTTTCGAAAACATTCTGTTGTTTTCCACAAATTAGGGATGTCGTAGGACAATTGGTTTTTTGATTGCATTTGTATATATGTAAAGATAAATAACAACTATAACATTGACTCAATATGTGGCTTTAATTGAAATGTCCAGACATTTGATTTCTGATAAAAATGTTCAGATTAGACAGGTCACTTTTTCAAATCTGGTTGTTCACTGTTCAAATTAGGAGGTGTTCAGATTTCAAGGTTTTTTTAACATGGGAGTCAATGGAAGGAAAAAATGGGACCGAAAAAAAGTGTTCAAATTGGAAGGTGTTCGGATTAGCCAGGTGTTCAGATATACAGGTTTTACTGTACTCATATACCAAAAGGTCAAAATTGAAAAGTATATTGTCAGACTTTCCTAATAGGGGATTTTAGGTCATCTTTTTGTTTCTTCAAAAATTCAAAGAAGAAATAATTTTATATACAAAAACATATACATGTATATCAAATAATTTCCCCGAATTCCCCCTATTTATGAAAGAACTATTTATTTCATCTGTACCAAGCAAAACGTCATAATGACATTTGTTCCTTATTTGAAAGAGTTCCTCTAGCTGTCTTATTCTTCTGTTCCTTATTTGATAGACATTCCTTTGTCTAATCCCACTGTAGAACAACCAAATTCTTGGGACAAATTGTGTCTACTTTTACCCTCTCCCTTGGTTGCTCAATTATTTGTATGTTCACTCTCCAAATCTCTCTGGTGACATTGAAGTGTATCCCCCATCTACACACAAATCTGTTGCTGTTATGAATGAGGCATCTTTACTGCAGAGAAATGCTACTGCTGCTGCTACTTCTGCACCTTCACCAATCCTACGAAGTATGTGGGCTTTTCCAAAATATTCCTGAGCCTTTTTCTTGTCAGCAAACCCATAATACTTTGCAACCTATAAAAAGTATATTTTCAAAGGGATTTCTCACTTTATTAGCCATTAGGGGAATATAGAGAAACTATTTGTTGGATCATAATTTGATTTTGATTTCTTGGATCATCCATGTCAGGGGTTTCATTAGCTGCAGGGAACAGGTGATTTTCACCGGTTGTTTTCACAAAATCTCCTGTTGTTTGGGACTTTTCAACTTTTCCATGTTAAATGTATGATTTCCATTAATTTTGCCTGTTGTTTTCATTTATTTAGCCTTTTGTGAAAAATTCTAGTAAAACTCCTGCATGTTCTAAAATTGCACTTAGAAGTCTATTGGAAGGCATTTCCTAAAGTTCAGAGTAAAATTTTGAGCCCCCCCCCCCTCCCCTAGTAAATTGGAAGTGTTCATCACTCTCATTTATTTTGGGAACATTTTCATAGTTGTCATAGACTCAAGATATTGGATTTGCTTGACGTCCACAATTAGACTAAAAACAATAGAGAGCATGTCCATCTTTCTGGCAAGAATTGAATTAATGTCTTTATTTTTCTCATCATTCTACTCACAGGGGATTGCATGGAGGGTTGGGCAGAACCCTCCCCAACCTCCTAAGGCTACTTCTCTTTAAAAAGGGCTCTCGAAAACTGACCTGTGTAGAAAAATAAAAAAAAATATTGTATACTAAATATAAGTCGAATCATTCCTATAAGCTAGATACACATTCAACATATAGAATTAGCAAATGAAAAAAATAATGGAAGCAATCCGTTGACTAGTTGCTCAGAAATGTAGACAGATTCTTCGAAATGGTGGAAATCGACGTTTTTACGAATTTTATCCGCGTTAAATGAAATACATTTCAGTCTATTTCTTTCTTATATACACTCACCATTAAAAATTGTTACTTCACGAGGTACTTCCTTTACGTGGCTTCCCTATGGTTACACGTTTATCACGAATTACATCTCAGAACGACTGCCACACGTGGATTTGTGTCGAAACGAAACTTCTGTCGAAAATTGTAAATAAATAATGGCCGGCAACCAGATATGAATGAAGATCTGCATTTTCATTGGCTCATTCACAATCGTTATAACAATTAATGATAAATGTAAAGGAGACATGTGAAACGTGAATAACATATTCGGCGCTTAGTTAAAAAGAAACTTTGATTTTATATAATACAAAATATATTTTTGTGTGTCTTGAAATAGGTGAAAATCACGTCCAGGCAATTTTAGGTAATTTGCACATTACGTTCACTTATATTTCATATTTATTTATAGATGTCAGGCAAGTGGGATTGAGCCAATGAAAATGCAGATATTATTCACATCGAGTTGCCGGCAATATTTGTTCAAAATATTTCAGAAAAGTTTTATTTCGACACATATCCACGAGTGGCAGTCGTTCTGAGATGCAATTCGTGATAAACGTGTAACCATAGGGAAGCCACGTAAAGGAAGTACCTCGTGAAGTAACAATTTTTAATGGTGAGTGTATATAAGAAAGAAATAGACTGAAATGTATTTCATTTAACGCGGATAAAATTCGTAAAAACGTCGATTTCCATCATTTCGAAGAATCTGTCTACATTTCTGAGCAACTAGTCAACGGATTGCTTCCATTATTTTTTTCAATCACTAATTCTATATGTTGAATGTGTGCGTGCCTTATACTAATGATTTCGACTTATTTTTAGCTTAAAATATTTTTTTTTATTTTTCTAGACATTTCACTTTTCGGGTTCCCTTATTAAAAGAGAAGTCTTTAGAGGTTGGGGAGGGTTGTGCCCGACCCTCCATACGATTCCCTGTGATTCTACTTAATATTTTTAAATCTTGAACATGATTATCATTTACCTCAGGAGTCCAGATTGCACCTGGACTGATTGAGTTGACCCGAATGCCCTGTTCTAATAGATCAAGTGCCATGCATTTTGTTAATGAAACAATTGCTCCCTTAGAAGTAGAATATGTCCATCTGTTTGTCTGGGCTCTATGGGCAGATACACTGGCCATGTTGACGATTCCACACTCTTTTCCACCAGCTAAAATGAATTTAATTAGTTAAACACTTGTAATCATTATTCCAATATAATCTTTAAGACGTATTTGGAATATTATTCACACATAGCTAGGCAAGGTGTGTCCGATTCCAGCCAATCCGTACAGAGTATTCACACAATGAACAGTGTGTGAAATATCAATCACACATGCAAGGTCACTAGTTAAACAGTTGTCATGGTGATGAATGGATTTTTCACATTGGATTTGATGACTTGTCAACTTGACCTTTGCAAAATATTTCATTGAAAATGTGTTCTTTTCGTGATTTCGTTCCTTTTAGATGATTTTAAAGAAACAAATTTGCAATGTGTGAAAAGAATTTAAGCCCAAGACTTAATGCATTGTAGCTCCGTCATTCCACTCAGGTGTTGTTTCCTAAACTTTGCGTTCCAACTGCATGCATTCCAACTGCAAAGGTTTGGAAATAACATGTTCATGGTATGATTCAGCAAACAATGCATTGTAATTCTTGGTCTTAAATCTTTTAGTGATAGCCTGTTTTGGGCATGTGCACCAATATACTTTACAGACATGTGATATGATCGGTGACAGGTCATCTCAACCCCAAGTCAACTCAACCCAGTACAACTCAACCCCAGTAAAACTCAACCCCGGTAAAACTCAACCCCAAGTCAACTCAACCCTGTAAAACTCAACCCCAGTAAAACTCAACCCCATTCATTTCTGTAATGTCTAGTTCTCTAGTTCATTAACTTTGATAATTTAGCATTTTGCATATTTTAAACAATGCTTTGTTAGAATTAGAATATTTCACAGAGGTATAATAATATTAGACACTGTTTATTTTCATCTTGGATAATGATTCGAGATATATATATTCACAAACAGTTTAACATATTTTAAAATTAAATTTTAGGAAAATAAAATCTTGGCAATTAACAATGTTTTTTTTATAAACGTATTAATGAAATCATTAATGATCAATAGTGTCAACCTGAGAGGCATTACAACAAACCAAACGTATTAGCAAGATTTAAATGGTACCAAGAAGGCGTTGAAATAAGATGACATGTGGAATATGATTAAATGACTCTTAATTCTTTAGAGCTTAGAGATTGTGCTCATCATTAAGTATACAAGGCAGGTCTTAGAATGATAATCAACAATTGACACAAAATTATAAAAACTTTTTTTTAATTATAAACAAACATATGAAAATCAACTTAAAATATATAGGGGTTGAGTTTTACTGGGGTTGAGTTTTACAGGGTTGAGTTGACTTGGGGTTGAGTTTTACAGGGGTTGAGATGACTTGGGGTTGAGTTTTACTAGGGTTGAGTTTTACTGGGTTGAGTTGACTTGGTGTTGAGATGACCAGGAAGCATATGATCAACCTACCTTTAACCATATAAGGATAGCATGATTGCACCATATTGGCCACACCTTCTACATTCACTGCCATTGTTTTGGCCCAATGTTCATGCTCAGCTTGAAGAGCTGGAATACCATATATGCATTACAATTATGAAGCCTGATAACACATCAGCATGCCAAAACAAGAACAAGAATAGAGGATTGAGGATGGAATAACTCATGAATGGTAACAAATCACTTAAGGGGGCATTAATACTGTAAAATATGGACTGCTTGATTGAAACTTTCAAACTTTCTCATTCTTAGATATTTTGACACCCATTTTTCGTAGATTTCTTCATTGCTAATGAGTGAAATCTGTGTTTATTGAAATATGACATCACAATTGGAAATTAAAATATTCATACTAAATTCCCATTGTTTTTTAAATTAATTATGTTAATTGAGTTTTAGTTTTGGGTATTACATATCGGTTATCTATGTGATCCTAGATGTTTTTAAGAATGACACAAGGTGTTTTTTGTAAGATCGTCCCTGTATATGTCCATATTGCATAATAATACTCATTCATTGATACTCATTTAAAATCAGTGATGAATGTCTGTCATATCCATGTAAAATAACATGCAAATTCATTTAATATCATAATGACTTAAGTCATTTTCTTATTTCTCTTGATCAGTAAGGGTTATACAATATGAAAGCTGAATTATGCTAAGCACAGTTCCATTTTAAAAAAGTACACAGGCCTGTAGCCAGGATTTGCCAAGGGAGTCTCTTTTTTAAAAATTCCAGGGGGGTCACTTCTGAGAACTTTGGCTCAAAAATAGCCAAAATCACTTGAAAAGTGCTCAGAATGGTGAAAAACAGCATGATTTTGAAATCCTCCTCCCAACCCCCCTGGTTAGGGGCCTGGTACATGTACTACCTTCAAAGCAAAAGTAGACTGCAGAATTGACTAGATAGTGTACAACTCCCCCATTTGCATCAGCCACCTTCCCCACTCCTGAGAGACACTCTGCTTTGTTAGAAACATCAACGCTGTAGAACATTGGCGAAAAACCTGCTTGTTTAAATTCAAGTTCTGTTTTTCGAATGGCATCATCATTTATGTCAAATATAGCAACAGTGGCACCGTCATTCAAGAACCGTCTTGCTGTTTCTTTTCCTATTCCAGAAGCACCCCCTGTCACTATTACAACCTTTCCTACAATATATTATTTTGGAGAATAATGCAGTATAGAAGAATCTTAACTATAATGGATTCATATTTCATATACAACTATAGTCACCTAAGACCACTGGCAGATCTGCTGGGGGGGGGCTTGGGGTCTGCCCCCCTCCCTTGGGTGCGCCCAGATAAGGCCTTAAGGCCTCAAAAAGTGGGCCTTTTTGGTCATTACTGGGCCTTTTAGGCCTTTTTAATTCAGGCCAAATTTTGAAAAAATAGGCCTCAAAGTTTCAAAATTTGAGCCCACTTTTGGGTTTTATGGGCCTAAAAATTTTTTCTGACCTTAAATTTGGCCCCCCCCCCTTGTTGGTTCCCAGATCCACCCCTGTAAGACAATGTAGGAAACTCA